TATTGTCTCTACCTGCCACCCCTGCCCATCCCTCTACTGCCTAGCTATTGGCCATTCAACTTTTTATTAGACCAATTAGGTAGCTTAGGCAGGCAAGGTAAAATAGCAACAGAACTTACATAATTAAACAAATGAACTCAACTTTACATAAAGTAAAATTCCACTGTTGTGTCGGGCGTTTGGTTCACATGGGTCTGTGGATGAATTTTAGCCTTCTCAGCTGCAGGGCAGTCAGCCTCTGGTGTAGCTTTGCCAATGGCTTTTTTATTGTTACAGTTTACACCTTTTAGCAAGTCAATTTCTGCACACCAAAACCTCTTACCCGAAGCTCCCAAAGAGACAGAAGAGACATTCCCAGTCGCAGGACATCTCAGTTTGCTGAGTCCTCCCATAACCAAGTTTTGCACAGACTTCAAAGAGAAGGTACAGGACACCAGAGGTAGCGGTCACAAAAGGTGGATCAAAGGCGGGTGCTAAAACTAAAGTTATGCAGCTTTACAGCAAATGCAGCCTTGGCTCTACAGTTTGGTTTACAGTCTTATGTAATTAAGCCAAAGTACACTTTAAAGCCAAAAGGGTTACTACTGCCAGAACAAGAGCAATACTTGCTGAATAAGCCATCGATTAAAGTGACTTACAGGGTTGGATGAGGTTTTTCTAGCTGCAAAGCTTTCCAAACATCCATTCCTGTCTTATCAGGTAACTTATCAAGGTAACAGTTTCCTTATTTCTTGCTATAAATCATTTGAGAAGAATTATGGTGACCCATCAAATGCCTCTTAACCTTTTCCCGTCACTCTGGTTATTACTGAATTTTAAAGGTGTAACACAAAAGGATGTAACATTCCAATCACATTTTAATTTTATCTGCTCCTCACATAGTCTTAACTCAGCTATTTCATTAACTATCTCACTATTTTATTTTGTTGAGTCCTTAGTTCTGTACAATGCCTGGGCTATGCTCAGCAGTTTGAATTTTTTTATAAAGTGCCAGTTCAGCAGTTACAGGCATAGCAATCAATACAATAATCCCCCAAATTACTGTAATAATTAGTCCAAGCATTTGACATGTTCTTAATATTCTTTCAGCGAGCTTCTATTCTAGGATCATCACCGGTGAGTCTTGCCATGGCCTCAGCAACTTTACCAGTGTCCAGATTGCTGGCCTTGCTCTAAGAATGTATAAACTTGCCAGGTGGTGGTGGCACACACCTTTAATCCCAGCTCTCGGGAGGCAGAGATAGGCAGATCTATGAGTTTGGGGCTAGTCTGGTCTACAGAGCGAGTTCCAGGACAGACTCCAAAGCTACAGAACCCTGTCTCGAACTCCCCCTCCAAAAAAAGAATGTATAAACTTGTAGCGGTTACATTTAAAGACATACTAAAATTAACACAGGTATGAAGGGTACAGCATTCAAAAGTGATGTTATAATTGCTAGGGTGCCAATGTACAGGCCTCTTCAGTAGCAATGAGGTTAAGATAAACATGCTTTCCTTCCCATGCTGCAAGAGGGTGAAAGGCACTAATTTCTGAGTTTGATGTGGGATTTCCCTCTGAATGCTATGAACATGTTTTATTACCATTAGTTATTAAAGAAACTGTTTTGGCCAATGGCTTAGTAGAGTAAAGTCAGGTCGGAAATCTGAACAGAGATATAGAGAAAAAGTAGGCAGAGTCAGGGAGATGCCATGTAGCTGTTGAAGGAGAAAGACATGAGCCGCCAGCCAGAACCTTACCTACAGCCTCATGGTGATACAAGATAAATAGAAATGAGTTAATTTAAGATGTAAGAGTTAGCAAGAAATATGCCTAAGGTATTGGCCAAACAGTGTTATAATTAATATAGTTTCTATGTGATTATTCGGGTCTGAACAGTTGGGAGACAAACGAGCAGCCTCCATCTACACAATTTAGTCTGAATTGAATCGCCAAATTGCAGGAGAGGACTGGGCATTCCAACTCCATGCCATTAAATAGGTCCACTAACAGTAGCACCAATCTCTGCTGTCCCATTTGAAGAATATGTATGCCATTTTAATTCTAAGTGAGAATGTTTCCCTCAAGGGAGCTATAGATGATGTCTCTGTGGGAGATACTAATTAGCACTCGAGGTCTCTCACTCTTACGTTGTTGCCAATGTACCCAGATTCCTTGTTGGCTTTTTCCTCTTCTTACTGCTGTGATCTTGCTTTCCCTCTTACTCCACAGCTGGCTGGGTGGTTGTTTGGCTGGCCCTTTCTCTTCTCACTACTTGATCTCTCCCTCCTTTGATCCCCGATTTCACCTTCTATTTATTCACTCTGCCTACCAGCCCCACCTATCCTTTCTCCTGCCTGGCTATTAGTTGTTCAGCTCTTTATTAGACCATCAGGTTTTAGACAGGCAAAGTATCACAGCTTCACAGAGTTAAACAAATGTAACATGGAAGAATGCAACACATCTTTGCATCATTAAACAAATGTTCCACAGCATAAACAAATATAACACATCTTAAAATATTTCACAACACAGATGAATGTTTTCCTTGCATGTATGACTGTATGCCATGTGAGTGTCTGGTACCTGCAGATGTCAGAAGGCACCATACCTCCTAGAATTGGAATTACAGATGGTTGTGAGCCTGGGAACTGAACCCGGGTCTTCCGCAAGAGCAAGTGCTCTTAATCACTGAATCATCTCTCCAGCCCATATCTTACATCTTTTTTTTAAAAAAAAAAAAAGATTTTATTTTTTTATTATGTATACAGTGCACTGCCTGCATGTATGCCTGTACGCCAGAAGAGGGCACCAAATCTCATTATAGATGGTTGTGAGCCACCATGAGGGTTCTGAGAATTGAACTGGAAGAGCAGCCAGTGCTCTTAACTTCTGAGCTGTCTCTCTAGCCCCATATCTTATGCCTTTATAATAACTGAAGTGAACTTGTACAAAGATGATGGCAATATAATTATACTTATCTATGGTAATGCTAATGAATTCTGCCAAGTAAAGATGATATCCGTATAGTAGAAAAGGCCATTCCAAACATTATAGGGTTTGTTTTTTTTGTTGTTGTTGTTAGCTTCATAAGTATTAGGGATTGGATCTAAGGCTTCAATGCATGCATGCTAGGCAAGCATTGTACTGAGCTACACATTACACTTTAATGCTCAGGATATTCAGATTTCTGCGACTAGCGAAGTCATTTCAGCATCCCTCTGATTATAGTAAAAAAGACATCCAGACAGCATTTCACTATGTAGCCCTGGCTGATCTTCAACTCTATGCAGACCAGGCTGCTCTCTAACTCGCAGAACTCCACCTGCCTCAGACTCCAGAATGCTGGGATTAAAGACATGCCTCATTTGCTAGTTAAAATTTTGAAACTCGAATTCTCACGTAAACAAGTCTTTATTTTCAGTACCCTCATTGTTTAATTGTAATGACAGATATGATGATGAGCACAATTTCTGGCATGTGTTTATTTTATACTTGTATGAGTTATATTTTGGGCACACACCTTTAATCCCAGCACTTGGGAGGCAGAGGCCGGTGGATCTCTGAGTACGAGGCCAGCCTAGTTACAAAGCAAGTTCCGGGACAGCCAAAGCTAACAGAGAAACCCTGTCTCAAAAAACAAAAAGAAAAGAAAAAAAAATGTGTGTGTGGTGTATGTTTGTCGTCAGATATTTCTGAGACAGTCTCTCTCAATCTGGAGCTCACCAACTCCATAATGGTGGCGGCTCACAAGCTCCAGAGATCTCCTTGATATATTTTAGCATCTTAAAAATTATAATTTAAGGCCAGGCGGTGGTGGCGCACGCCTTTAATCCCAGCACTCGGGAGGCAGAGGCAGGCAGATCTCTGTGAGTTCGAGGCCAGCCTGGTCTACAAGAGCTAGTTTCAGGACAGGCTCCAAAGCCACAGAGAAACCCTGTCTCGAAAAATCAAAAAATATATATATATATATATATATATATATATATAATTTAGCTGAGTATAAGATAATATACACTGGATGGCAATATATTATAAGAATAAAAGTAAGGTTACAGGATAGTTAAAACTTGAGATACAGTAAGCATTAATTTGTCTTTGATTTTTCTGAGACTAAGTCTCCTGTGGTTCAGACTGGCGTCCAACTCTTACCTCTACTTAGCAACTGGTAGGATTACAGGTATTTTCCACCATCCATACCCAGTAGTATTTTAAGAAAGAAAAAAGAAAACAATGCAAAACAAAAACTTAGGAGGGGCTTCTGGGGACTGGAACCAGGGTTTCACATACAAGCACACACTGCCTCACTTTTTGCCTTCTGTTGCTTTAGTAGGACTCGATCCGTCCTACAGTTCTGGAGTGCCCTCCTCTGTTTTCACAGTACACTAATCCAAACCATCATCATCTCTTTCATCTTCCTTTTCTTACTTCTACTTTAGATCGTTTACTGTAGTCAGATGATTCTCTCCTTTCTGAGACAGAGTCTCACCATGTAGCTCTGACTGCCCTGGAGCTCACTGTGTAGACCATGTTGGCTTCGAACTCAGAGATCTGCCTGCTTCTGCCTTCCAAATTCTGGGATAAAAGATATATGCCACTATGCCCTGCTAGATGATCGTTTCTAAAAATAGTTATCACTCCTTCCTCTCCCTTGGATCCTGAATAGTGGAATCAAGTGTGGTTGGGCCTAAAGCTTACACAATTGGAGTCTCTCACAACACAAAACTTAGGTGTCTATAAAGACAGACCTTGAAACTGAAGCTTTTACGCCTTCCCTGCAGTCCCGCTTTGCCAATAAATCTGGTCTAATTTCGCTGTACTTCGGGATCATTCTCCATGCAGTCTGAGCCCAGAAGGCCTTTCCTACCCCCCACCCCAATCCCGACCCCTGGGGAGCCGCTCTCCCAGTGGTCTATGCGTGCGAAGGCAGGCGGAGGCAGGCAGAGCCCTGGGAGACCCGCAAGCCTGGCTCCCTCCCCTTTTGCTGCAGTTATCCCAAGTAGCGCGCCGCCCTCCCCGGAACCCGAGAATACGCAGCTGCGGTTCCGGTCGGAGTTGTTTGACGTTGCCAGCTGACATGGCTGCGCCCGTAGTAAGGAGTGTTCGGAAGCTGCTGAAGCTCGTGGACTTCACGTCGGTCCCGCGGAGACACCGATATAAGAAGAAATGGGTAAGGTCTTGCACGGAACGTTAGAGGGAAACTTATCCAGTCCTTGTGCTTTCCGTCGTTCATATTTGTAGTCATCCCAGGGACAGTAAACTTTTTGAAGCTGTGGTCACCTCGTTGTCTGCCCTTTTATTAACAAGGCTCCTCTTGCTGTTGCATAAGCAGCCTCCCGACCCCGCCCCTCTATGTTAAGTCATCACTGCGCTTTCATTCTTTCGCTGACGTCACATCGCCTCATGTTCCCTTTTTTTTTGCTTACCTTTCCCTTGCCCTCTTCACCCCTTCTTTCCCCTTCTCCCTCTTTCCCTTCCCCACCCCCTCCAGTCCCATGACCTCGACCTCTTCTCCGTTCCTCCTTGAATTTTCAGCCCCTGCAACCTCACCCCTAGCAAAAGATCATGACAACTACCCCTACCCTCCTGGGTCTCCGTCGTCCTGCAGTAAAGGATTTAGCCCAGTCCTCACTCTTGGGGTGCCTTTAGCGCCCAGGAAAGAGTTCAGCGACCACCTTGTTTGTACTACAGGCCTTTCTCCAAATGCAGGCAAAAGGCTCACCAACCCCCCTTACTCCAGAGAACCTTTCTCTTGCCTCACCGTTACATCGCCTTGCCTACCTCGACGGATTCCCTCCCCACCCCCTCAGCCCCCGCTACCCTCCTGCTCACCCCCACAGGGGAGAGGTTCTTTTGAACCCTTTACTCCACTCCTAGGGAGGCTGTACAGCCAAAACCCGGCTGGTTCATCCCCTCCGAGCCCTTGTTTTGACCGATTCAGCTTTCAAGGGTCACCCTCTCCTTGTCAGCAGAACCCTTATTACGACTGTATCGGTTCCCCAAGATCTCAGCGTCCCTGTTCTCCAAACCCGTGCTTTTGTTACTGTAGCTCTCCACCTCTCATTCATCAGCCCCCCAGAACCAGCCCAGTAACCTCCCCTCTAGTCACTCATATATCCTTGGAGTCTGACTCCGTGATTTCGACTCCCGGTATGCCTGGGTCCCAGGGAAGTTACAACGTAGTTTCACCTCTTCTTACCCATAGGCCCCTGAGAACTGGCCTTACAATTTCACCTCCTCTTGCTCACAGACCTCTGGAAACTAGTCCTCTAGTCGCCACAGCCCTTTCTCACAGAGTTTTGGAAACTGGGCCCATGATCTCCCACTGGTCCTCTGGGAGAAGTTACAGAGACCCTCCTCTTTCCTCGGCCACAACCCCACCCACTGGCAGCCTATACCATGACCACCCTAAGCCTCCAGACTCTTGTGAGCCTAAACCGCAGCCTGATGGATCTCTTGGGGAAAATGATTGTGGCCCTCCACTTTCTTCTCAGGCAGGCATTTCTTGCTCTCCCGTCTTACCCAAAGTGGGCACTTTTCATTATTCCCATGTTTGCCCAGAATCCCAGTTACGTGCCCCTAGGAGTCCTTACCGTATCAACCTACCACCTGAGAGTTCTGGTTCTTCTAACTCATCTGAGCCTCCATCTCTCCAAAAGACTTGCTTAGAGTCCTTTCTATCTTGGGATACTGGGGGAAACTCTTTCCTCTTGCTAACCCCGGGTAGTATAGTTTCTGGTCCTCCCTGCCCCACAGAACCACCTCCTCCTCAGCGTCCTTATCCTTCCCTGTATTTCCCACCTCCCCTGGGCAACCAGCTTTTAGCTCCTCATCAGACACGCAGAAGTTATAACGAGCCCCCTCTCCCTACCCCAGTTCCTCAAGTGAAGTCCCCCAAATTCTCAGATTCACGCCGCGCTGCCTACAGGTGTCGCTCCCTGGTCAACACACCCAACCCCACCCCTCATGATCATCCTAAATCCCGTAAGACCAACACCTCTCCTCAGCCTCCCTCCCAGTCCTTTGGGTTCTCTAATCCTCTTATGGAGCCAGCCATTACAACTACTTCAAATTCCTTCCCAAAAGAACTTCCCCCAGAGACTACTGTGGACACAGGACCCCTTAAAACTGTTGCCCCGACTTCCTGTCCCCAGTACCTGCCTTATAATCCTCTCTTGCCCAGTAGATATCCCAAGAGCAGTCCCCACGGACCACCTCCTGTATCCCCCTGCAATACCCACATGTATTCTGTGGTTCCTCCAACCTCCCATTTGTCCCCACTGTCTAGTCCCCTGAATCGCTCTATACGTCTCCCTCAGTGTCATATCCAGCCTGTGGTTCCCTTCGGCATTTCTGCTGCTCCCAGGGGTCCACCACCACCCAATAGCAAGCCTGTGGTGCCTCCTTGTTCTACCCACATCTATTCTTTTATCCCTCTGAGGACACCCTTTGACCCCCGGTGTTTACCTCTTGTTCCTCGAGTTCGGCTTTGCCCCAATACTATTCCCTGTGGCCTTCATACCTATGCCGTGTCCCCTTCAGGCCCACTCAGAGATCCTCCCCAAATCCCCTACAGCTGCTCTTTGCCTTCCTCTAAGAGCTCCACCTGCAGCGCTACTGGCAGCTGTAGTTCAACCATTATTATTAGTGAATGCTGTAGTTGTGAAAGCCAGAGTGTCCAAAAGAAAAGCCAGAGCCAGAACAAGAGTGCCCTTCCTCATCAAAGCAAGAGTCCCCCACGCAGGAGATCTTTGCAGAGCAGAAGTCGGAGCCGGAGCAGTAGTCCTCCCCAAAGCAATACTCAGGTCCATGGTGAGAGTAGCCACTTGAGCCTCCCTGAGAGCCAGAGTGAGAAATATCACCATAGCAGAAGTCGGAAGAAGAGCAAGAGCCCTCGAGGTGATAAAAGTAAGAACCGGAGCAAGAGTCCTCACCGTAGGAAAAGTCATGGTCGAAGCAAGAGTCCACACAATAAGAAGAAATGATGACTACCAGAACACAAGTTCTGACCAGAACAAAACACCCAGATTAGAGCAGAAATTGCAGTAACAAGACTGTCAGCAATAGCATCTCCGCGTTGCAACCCCGGACCAGCTTGGGACCTCCACATCGGAAGTCTTCAGTTCTTTCTTAATATGACTTAGGTTCTTCACTTCCAGCCCAGTAACAGTCACCCTCGAAGTTTCTGCTTTAATTCGTACCTTAAGAGTTTGTGAACTGTCTTTATTCTGCCTTCCTGGGGTCTGGGAAATCTTCTAAAACAACTCAGCTCTGTGATCCTGTGCATTCTGTTGCCCGTTCACTGGGCCGTCTTAGGTGAGTGACTCTCTGCTCCTCAGCTGTGGAAGGTGGTGGTGTTCCTTTTGTATCCTCTTGAGCACTGCTGCCATAGAGCACTCATCAGCTGGTAGGTATGAGCAAGTTTTTGAAAACAGGATTATAAAGAATAAAAGTGTCTGGATGGGCATGGTGGCACAGGCCTTTAATCCCAGCACTGGGAATCAGAGGCAGGTGGATTGTTTTTTTTTGTTGTTGTTTTTTTTTTTCTTGGTTTTTCGAGACAGGGTTTCTCTGTGGTTTTGGAGCCTGTCCTGGAACTAGCTCTTGTAGACCAGGCTGGTCTCGAACTCACAAAGATCCGCCTGCCTCTGCCTCCCAAGTGCTGGGATTAAAGGCGTGCGCCACCACCGCCCGGCGAGGCAGGTGGATTGTGAGTTCAAGGCCAGCTTGGTCTACAGAGCCAGTTCCAGAGCAGTCAGGGCTGTTACACAGAGAAAAAACTGTCTCAAAAAAAAAGCTTTAAGCCTCAAGCTTTCCCAGGGCTTGAGTAAACAGTTTCTTCAAGAGTTTTCCCTTGAGCTGTTTCTTAAGTCCCCTTCTTCCATTTCAGTGCTAAGTATCAAATCTCAGTGTTGCATGCGCTAGGCAAAAGCTGTCTCACACTGAGCACACACTGAGGTGCATCCCAGCTCAAGCTCAATCACTCCCCCTTTCACGTTTTTGAGACTCTTTTATGTTTCTCTCTCTCTCTCTCGCTCTCTCTCTCTCTCTCTCTCTCTCTCTCTCTCGTCTCTGTGTATTTGAGATAGAGTATCTTAGATCCCAATTTGTCTTGTACTCTCTGTAGCCAAGGATGACACCCCTCTACTTCCTGAGTGGTAGGATGACAGGAGACTTTTAATAATGATGTTTACTTATTTATTAGTATTGGTATAGGTATGGTGTGTGCATGTGTGCATATGGGTATACCCGAGGAGGTCAGACAACTTGGGGGAATCAGTTCTACCATGTGGGTCCCCAGGACCAAACTCAGGTAGTCACATCTAGTGGCAAGAACCTTTCCCCATTCAGCCACCTTGCTCAGAGACCCCTGATCTCAAGTTTGCTTTTGTAGCCCCAAGGCTCACTTTGAACTCTGGATCCTCCTGCCTCAGCCTGCTGAATGCTGGGATTACGAGTGTGCACCACGATCCCTAGCATTGGCTCGCTCTCTTGCTTGAAGACCCCTTCACAGTAACTGGGAGAGGTATTGTGTTCCTTCTAGGCCTGTGATATGAAGCTAATTCTTCATTCTCCCAGCCCCCAATTTCTCCATTGGTAGGCAGAGGCAGGTTGCAAAGGTAGGAGAGAGCGCTGGATGGATTTGAGTTTGCCTTGGGGGTCTGAGGTATTGGTAGATATGTTGACTAGTTTTATGCCAACTTGACACAAGCTGGAGTTATGCAAAAAGGAGGGACTCTTAATTAAGCATACCGCTATAAGATTTGGCTGTAAGATGTTTTCTTAATTAGTGATTAATGGTAGAGGGCCCAGCCCATTGTGGGTAGTGGCATCCCTGAGCTGGGGGCCCTGGGTTCTCTAAGAAAGCTGGCTGAGCAAGCCATTAGTAAGTGAGCCAGTAAATAGCACTCCTCCATGGCCTCCGAATTGCTTCCTGCAGTTCCTGCCCTGTTTGAGTTCCTGCCTTCACTTCCCTCAGTGATGGCTGTCACCTGGAAGTAAAAGCTGAAATAAACCCTTTCCTCCTCAAGTTGCCTTGGTCATGGTGTTTCATCATAGCACTAGAAACCCTAGCTAAAACAGTAAAGTCAGCTTACAAGAGATAGAGTCAAGACCAGGAAGATTAATAAGCTTGCCCTTTCTCTTTTAGGCTACCACAGAGCCAGAATTCCCTGCCACTCGGCTTGCTCTGCAGAATTTCGACATGACCTACAGTGTACAATTTGGGGATCTTTGGCCCTCGATTCGTGTTAGTCTTCTCTCAGAGCAGAAGTATGGCGCGTTGGTCAATAATTTTGCTGCTTGTGATAACGTGAGTGCTAAGCTGGAGCAGCTGAGTGCCAAGGACTTTGTGAATGAAGCCATCTCTCGCCAGGAACCAGAGCCTGAGAGTGGCCTCGCTCCCACTCCATCCCCAGACTGCAGTCCAAACCTTCGATGCTTTACTTTCTCCAGAGGGGATGTCAGCCGTTTCCCTCCTGCCAGGTAGGATCTGGAACCATGAGGATCATCCTGAGTCCCCGCTAGAAGTGGACGTGAGGAGTTGCTCAGCCAGTTTCCCTGGTGTGCTTATACAGACTAGGTGTTTGTCTACGTGCTGTGCCCGCGCCATCTCCTTTTGTTCTGTTAGGACCCTTAGGGAAATAATATCTGCCCTCTTTTATATTTGAGGTGTAATGAAGTTAAGGAGTTTATTGGCTTCCAATCTGTCAGAGAGTAAGTGGTGTAGCTGGTACTTAGACCCAGGCAGTCTGAACCCCAAAACCTGAGCTTGGAACCTGTTCTGACATACTGCCTTCTGTAGGAAACACCCGCCTTTCCCAAGAGCAACTCACTGCTTCCTTTCCAGTGAAAATGAAAATGTTTGCCCCGCCAGGCAGCTGTGGGAGTAAGGCAAGAGGAAGTGGACTTTGGTAGGAAAATGTGTATGGAATTCTGTGAGAAAAGACTGCACACTCAAGGGCTAAACTGGGCTTCAGTCCTGGAGACTACGAAGCTGGACATGGTCATACAAGCCTGCAATACCAGCACTTGTTATCTTAAAGCATGAGAACAGTGGGTTAGAGGCTAGCTAGGCCTACACAGTGAGACCCAGCCTCAGAAAAACAAACAACAACACAAAAACAAAACACAACAGAGGTTCAGGAGTTTGAAGTTGTCACTACCCAAAATAACAAAAAACCTAAAAAGTCCTGTTATAATAGCAGATACATTTTTTTTTTTCTGAGTCTTGGAATCCAGAGTCTGACATAGTTGGCGAGCATTCTACTATTGGGCTACTCTAGGTACTCTTATTTCAGAGGGAAAGACCTGGGTACAGAGAGGAATTTGCTGAAAGTCACACAACTAAGAAGTTTGAGGCCCAGAAAGCCTGGCTGAGGAGTGTTAGACTTAGCTGTCTTCCAGGATTGTGGCAAGAGAGAAGTGAAATTTGGCATACTGAAATTCCACCTGCCTCTGCCTCCCAAGTGCTGGGATTAAAGGTGTGCGCCACCATCACTTGTGAAGACCCACCCGCCCCTGCCTCCCAAGTGCTGGGATTAAAGGCCTGCACCACCATCACTCGGCTGTATCTTCTATTTTTATGTGTGAGTATATGTCCCCTTTGGGTGCAGGATCCTGCAGAGCGGAAGTGGGTGTCAGATCCCCTGGAATTAGAGGAGGTTTTGAGCCACCATGTGGATGCTAGGAGCCGAACTTGGGTTCTCTGGGAGAGAAGCTAGTGCCCTTGTTTGCTGAGCCATCTTTCCAGTCTTTCTCACTAAATCTTTTTTTTTTAATTTAATTTTTTGTTTTTAATTGAGCTATACATTTCCCCCACTAAATCTTAAATGGTTTTTCATCAGACCCACCTCAGGTAGCTCCAGTACACATAGTAGATAGCCCTTATTTCTGAAACAGGGAAGTACTTTGTATCTTGATGTGTAACCCAGTAAAATTGAGTTCATACTATGTGACAGGCATAGTATCAGGTCAGGGAACAAAGCAGGCAAAATCTGCCCTCCCAGAGCTACATTCTAATATGGGAAAATACACATACACACATACGTATACTTGTACCTTTAAAGTGAGGAACAAGTGCTTTAAAGAAAAGTAGTGGAGCTGGAGCTAGAAGTCTGGGAATGCCAATGGTTTAAAGAGGTCACTTTGAGCCTTTAATCCCAGCACTTGGGAGGCAGAGGCAGGCAGATCTCTGTGAGTTCGAGGCCAGCCTGGTCTACAAAGGGAGTTCCAGGACAGGCTCCAAAGCTACAGAGAAATCCTGTCTCGAAAAACCCAAAAAAAAAAAAAAAAAGTCACTTTGAGGCAATGCCTGATAGAAGTAACGTGTAGTAGAGATGTGTAAAGGAAGAGTGTTAGCAACTGAAAGGCCTGAGATATGATCATGTGTGACTCGCTGAAGGAATAGCAGGGTGGCTAGTGAGACTAGTTTGGGAGCAAATTGATATGTTTTCAAAAGGATCACTCAGGAATGGGAGTGTAGCTTAGTGGTAGAATGTTTACCAAGCACGCATAAAACCCTGAGTTTTATCCACATTGTGTAAACCAGGTGTGGCACAAACCTGTAATTCCACAGTTCATCAGTGGAGCCAGGGGAATCCGAAGTTCACTGTCATTCTCAGCTTCATAGCAAGGATGAGACCAGCTTGGGACACATGAGACCTTGATCTTGTTTCTTTCTTTCTTTCTTTTTTTTAAATTAAAGATGTATTTATTATGCATAGTGTTCTGCCTGCATGTATGAAGGCCAGAAGAGGGCTCCAGATATCATTATGTGAGCCACCATGTGGGTACTGGGAATTGAACTCAGGACCTTTGGAAGAACAGCCAGTGCTCTTAACCTCTGAGCCACTTCTCCCGCCCTTGCTCTTGTTTCTTAAAAAAAAAAAATCACTGTGGATATTATATAAAGGAATGAATGAGTACTATGAATTCTGTATAGGTAAGTTAATGAGTAGTAGATGCTGTATAGATGAATGAATAGCGGATACTGTATGGATGAATGAATGAGTAGTGGATACTGTATGGATGAATGAATGAGTAGTGGATACTGTATGGATGAATGAATGAGTAGTGGATACTGTATGGATGAATGAATGAGTAGTGGATACTGTATGGATGAATGAATGAGTGTCTGAGAAATAATTTTGCTGAGTGGAGCACACTGACCCTACCGGGCATGGACTCGCTCACCTTGGCTCCCAGGAGATGTGTGAGATGATCTTCTCTCTTCCAGACTTGGCAGCCTGGGTCTCCTGGATTACTACCTGATGGATGCTGCCTCCTTGCTACCAGTCCTGGCTCTTGGTCTGCAGCCTGGAGACACCGTGCTTGATCTGTGTGCAGCTCCTGGGGGGAAAACACTGGCCTTACTTCAGACGGGCTGTTGCCGTAAGTCAGTGGGATGGTTTCTCAGGCAGGCAGGAATCCACTTTGCCCAGTCAGGGCACACCGAAAGTGATAAGCTTTCTTTCTGGTCCCAGGGTCAGAGGGGTAATACTATTTGCTAAGGTTGTCAGTCAGTTGGTCAAGAAAATAGTTTGTCAAGGCTCCTTCAGGCAGATCAAATCAGGGCTCTGATAAACGTGTCATCACGTGACCCTCTCGCCCTTTGGCATTTGCTGATTAACTTCTCATTTCTTTGTGCTCCTTCCAGCACGGTCTGCTGCTGTACTCAGGTTACATTCTCTAGAACTCTTCCACCCACCCCAGCTGTGGTTTCTAAATCCTCTAGGCTTTCAAGCCTCGGTTCAAGTGTGCTCCCCTAGGAAGTCTTCTCTCACAGCTACTGCTGGCTTGTTCAGGCTGATTCCCTTTCTTGTGCACCCACGCCATGAGCATCACCCGCTAGCACGTGAATATTAGTAGCCTTTCCTCAGATAGTATCTTCTCCCTCCTCAAGGTTATGAATTCCATGCTGGGTGTGTTGGTGCCCTCCTTTAATCCCTGCACTTAGGAGGCAGAGCCAGGTGAATCTATGTGAGTTTGAGGCCAGCCTGGTCTACAGAGAAAGTTCCTGGATATCCAGAGCTACACAAACCTTGTCTCGAAAAACAAAACAAAATTATGAATTCCTTGGGAACAGGCTGGAGCTTTATGTGTCTCTGTGTCAAAGGTGACCCTGGCTCACTTTAACCAGCCACTGGTCAACATCCTGATGGAAAGTAGAAGTTACCTTTTCCCTGAGGCTTAAGAGATAGCCACAAGGGCATGTGATCTTCACATCTGACCCAGAGCTTAGCCAGGCCCCTCCTGCCATGCGCTCAGACCTTTTCATTAGGTGTGAACCTTCTGTCCTTATTACTCTGAAGCTGGCTTGCATGGTTTGAGTTAGCCTCTAGCCTCTTGGCAGGCCCATGAGTGGTTTGCTTCCAGCCTTCTGGAAGTTCAAATAGAAAAGGAAAGATGTTGGTCGGCACAAGTTTAACAAATGAGTTGTAGAAGGAGAGAGCTGCTTGTTGGTTCCCGGACGGACGCTTAGCTTTGAAATAACCACACAGAAACTTTATTAATTAAATCTCTGCTTGGCCCATTAGCTCTAGCTTCATATTGGCTAACTCTTACGTATTAATTTAACCCATTTCTATTAATCTCTGTATGGCCACGTGGCTGTGGCTTACTGGCTAAAGTTCCAGCGTCTGTCTCCAGCAGGGCTACATGGCTTCTCTCTGACTCCGCCTATTTCTCCCAGTATTCAGTTTAGTTTTCCCCCTAGCTAAGTTCTGCCCTGCTATAGGTCCAAAGCCGGTTCTTTATTCATTAATGGTAATTACAGCATACAGAGGGAAATCCCATATCAGTGAGTCCAGAGCAAGAGCGCCCATGCTGGGTTCTGTGCTGTGCTGCGCTGATCTGAACATTGTGAGAATCCGGCAGAAGGGAGAGGAGAGAAATGGGCAAAGGAGAAGTGCTTCCAAGGTGTGCTAAATTCACAGAAAATCTTCATCCCAGGTCCTCACCCAAGAGACTGACTTCTTGACCCCAGGACATAGCTAGGGTCCCAGAGCATCAGGGCAAGCATGGGACTCAAATTGACTTTGTCAGCCCTCTTGCTTATGCAGGGAAAACTGGGTTCTGGAGGGATTGGGGAGCGTAACTTAGAAATGTTGGACACAGAAGCAGAACTGGAAGCTGTCTTTCCTTTCTCACTTTGTTTCCTCCTGGAAATCCCTTCAGAAAAGGGTATTTGTTTTTTTATGTTGAGTGCCCTCAAAACTTGGGACATTCCTTATGGGAACACCAAATCACTTCCCAGTAGCAACCTGGATTCTTCATTACAGTTCCCACTTCTTGTTTCTCCATGCTCTGAGGCTGGCTATCAGCTGTCATTTCTCATCAAGCCTTTTGATTTTTTATTTAAAGACAGAGTCCCATTTTTTAGCCCTGTCTTCACACCTTTGATTCTCTTCCCCCAGCCTCCCAGGTGCTGGCATTATAGGCATGTCACACCAGGCCTGCCTTAACATCAGTCTTACAGGAATGTTCTTCATATAGTAGAGCTAAAAGCAACTTGATATCTCTCTCTCTCTCTCTCTCTCTCTCTCTCTCTCTCTCTCTCTGTGTGTGTGTGTGTGTGTGTGTCTTTTTTTTATTTATTTTTTTTAAATATTTATTTATTTATTATGTATACAATATTCTGTCTGTGTGTGTATGCCTGCAGGCCAGATGGTTATGAGCCACCATGTGGTTGCTGGGAATTGAACTCAGGACCTTTGGAAGAGCATGCAATGCTCTTAACCTCTGAGCCATCTCTCCAGCCCGTGTGTGTGTGTGTGTCTTTGAGACAGGGTTTCTCTGTGTAGCTTTGGTGCCTGTCCTGGAACTAGCTCTTGTAGACCAGGCTGGCCTCTTGCTCACAGAGATCCACCTGCCTCTGCCTCCCTAGTGCTGGGATTAAAGGTGTGTGCTACCACTGCTTGATTTATAGTTGTCATTCTTAGGATCAATATCATGGTACAAGACAGCTGCTTGAACTTCAGCCAGCCCATTTCAGTCTGAGATGGAAGGAAATGATTGTGTTAGCCTTTAGACGTTATTTCCCAGAGGTCCCACTTGATATTTATGTCTACAGTTCTTAGCCAGACCAAGTGCTTTAATCATACTTAGCTGTAAGAGAAAGCCATGAGAGGTACTCTGTTGGTGTGCATTGCCTCCTGTTGGTAAAGTTGGGGTTCTGTGATTAAGGAATAAATTTTAATAGTAAATTCTCAGTGAATAACCTAGAGTGTCGACTGAAGCTGAAGAGAGACATATTGTCTTGTCCTGTTTTGTTTCTCAACTTGACACAAGCTAGAGTTATGTGGGAAGAGGAACTTCAGTTGAGAAAAGGTCTTCAGAATCAGATTGCTTGGAGACTGGGAAGGTGGCTCAGCAGTTATGAATTAATTGTTGATATGGGAGGGCCCAGCCCCCTCTGGGTAGTACCCCTGGGCACAGGTGGTCCTGGAGTAGAGAAGAAAGCAGACTGAGTGGGCAGATAAGCAGTTCCTACATGGTCTGTGCTTCAGTTTCTGCCTCCAGGTTATTGCTTTGACTTCCTGCCCTGACTTTCCTCTGTGATGGACTATAAACTGTAAGCTCCCCAAGTTGCTTTTGGTCGTGGTGTTTTTATCACAGAAATAGATACCTAGCTAAGACACAAATGTTTCAAAGAGATTGGATAGCTAGGGACACTGATATATGTATATATATGTAGTCCCAGCTACTCAGGACGCTGAGACAGATTTGCTTGAGAAGTCTGAGAACAGTCTAGGCACCATAGCAATAACCCGGGTCCACAGCGAACGGTAAAATCGGCATGGCTAGTACGCTGTAAACCTAGCATTGAGGCAGGATGACCACAGGTTCATGGCCAGTCTAGGCTACAGAACAAGACCCTGTCACAGAGTAAAGGGGTAGTGGGAGAGAGCATATTTCTTTAGAAATACTCTTTCTTGACCTGCTTTGTCTGTTTACTTTTCCTTTTGCTACATATTTGTCCTCATGACCGCCACTCCAGAGTGACTGATTTGGCCACATATATAATAAATATCCCTGTCTCTGGGGTATGTGTTGATTATTTATGCCTGAGAGTTGGTTTCATTTCCTATCAGCTCCTTCTGTTGGTGTGCTATGCTGTTGGGTTGCAGCCTCTGAAGACTCTTATTTCCACACAGGCAATCTCGCTGCCAACGACCTCTCCACTTCCCGAACAGGCAGACTACAGAAAGTCCTGGACAGTTATGTGCCCCAGGACATCAGGGACGGGAATCAAGTTCGAGTCACCTCATGGGATGGCAGGAAGTGGGGAGAACTGGAGGGGGACACCTATGACCGGGTAAGTGATTTCTGACCTCTGAGCTGTGGCTTCAGGTCCCAGGGGTAAGATCCAGCCCCTGTGTTTTGATTGTGCAGGGCAGTTTTCGCACCTAGACAGTTCTCCATGAGTGACTTGGAGAAAGAGCTATTTGGAGAATTCTCAGTTCAGCTTGGATGACTTGCTACTATTTTCATTAGCGATAGTTGGCAGCAAAAAGAATGTGAACCTAACTGAGTGTGGAAGAAGTTATTAGGCATATTTTATTCCTGAAGTCACTTGGTTGCTTGGAAGCCCTCATGAAGATGAGTATGAATGAGAACATGTTATTTATTTCTGAATATTAATATAGCACATAGTGCAAATTCAGGAGGTATCAGGTGAAAAATAAACTTTCTTTTTAGACCTGTACATAGTCATCTACTTCCTCTTCCTGCAGACTATTGTTTTTGTTTTCTATGGCCTTTATAGATATTTGTAAGTTTCTTAAAAATGGAAATGGCGGGGCTGGTGAGATGGCTCAGTGGTTAAGAGCACTGACTGCTCCTCCAGAGGACCTGGGTTCTATTCCCAGCACCTACATGGCAGCTTGTAGCATTCTGTAACTCCAGTTCCAGAGAATCTGACATCGTTATACCAATGCGCATGAAATAAAGTTAAATAAAGTTTTAAAAAAAATGGTGATCTTTAAAAAAATGAAAATGGCAATGTGTTGTTTTCATTCTGACATTTATGACTTTTTGTTTTGTTTTGTTTTGTTTTTCGAGACAGGGTTTCTCTGTGGTTTTGGAGCCTGTCCTGGAACTAGCTCTTATAGACCAGGCTGGTCTCGAACTCACAGAGATCCGCCTGCCTCTCATTTATGACTTTTTAATTAATTGAAATATCCTCAGGTTTAGTCCTTTTTCGTTTTGTGCTTTTGAAGTATGATTGCTGGTTGATGGTTTCCATCAACTAAGATTTGACAAAGTTTGGGGATTTCTCCAGGGTTCTGCCAATCTTGCTTCCACTGGCCGTGAGCAGGTTTTCTGTATCCATCAGTATTGCTGCTCTCCAACTGTTTCTCTCACATTCTCTTGTTGTATATATTATTGAAACCTGCCCCTTTCTTGTTTTTTGAGACAGGGTTTCTCTGTGTAGCTTTGGTTATTCTGTAACTTGCTCTGTAGTCCAGGCTGGCCTCAAACTCACAGAGATCAGAGATCCGTCTGCCTCTGCCTCCCAAGTGCTGGGAATAACAGCGTGTGCCACCACTACCTCCAGCTTTAAAACTCTTTTTTTTTTTTTTTTTTTTTTGATTTTTCAAGAGAGGGTTTCTCTGTAGTTTTGGAGCCTATCCTGGAACAAGCTCTTGTAGACCAGGCTGCCTCCCAAGTGCTGGGATTAAAGGTATGCGCCACCACCGCCTGGCTGAAACTTTTAATATTTTAAAGTTATTTTTTCTCAAATTCTTTTAGGGCTGGGCGGTCCCAGCTCTTGGGAGGCAGAGGCAAGCAGGGTCTTAGTGAGTTTGAGGCCAGCCTGGTCTAATGAGTAAATTCCAAGACATTTGGGACTACACGAAGAAACCCTGTCTCGAAAAATAAATCTTTCAGATTTATTTATTTTTATGTGTATGAGTGTTTAGCCTTCATGTATGTGTGTACCACATGTGTGTCTGTGTTGCTCTCAGAGGTCATAAGAGGGAGTCAGATTCTCTGGAACTGGAGTTACAGGCAGTAACTCCTTATGGGTGCTGGGAATGAATCTGGATTGTCTACAAAGCAACAAGTGCTCTTAACTACTGAGCCCCTAGTTATTTTCTAAAATCACTTATTTAAAATGTAATTTATCATCCCTATATATTGTACACATGTAGAAAATGGACAAAGAATATAGCCAGGCAGTGATGGTGCACACCTTTAATCCCAGTACTCAGGAGACAGAGGCAGGTGGATCTCTGAGTTTGAGGCCAGCCTGGTCTACAGAGTGAATTCCAGGACAGCCAGGGCTACAGAGACAAAACTTGTCTTAAACAACAACAACAACAAAAATCTGTAGCTTTCGTGGCATACAGGTAAGGGCTAGCATTCTGGAGTCAGGCTCCTTAGATTGGAACCCCGCTTCATGATTTGCCCGCTAGAAGCTGCTTATGAGTTATTTAAGCTTTCGTTTGTGCTTTACCTTCTTCAGTGTGGCTTATTGTAATGCCCGTCCCGTAGGCGGCTGAGAATGCCTTTGCTGAGGGCCCGACTGTAGCAGTGTTAACATTATCATCACTGTCATACCCTCGTCATTGTTCACGGACCCTAGCTGTGCCTTGTGGAGCAGGATAGAATGAATTCCCTCCCCTTTTCCTTGACAGCGCTTGGGGCATTTGAAACAGCTTTGGTGCTTGACGATATCTTCATTGATTTCTTTGTTGAAGAAATAGTAGTGTGCAGTTTGCTGTGCCAGGGAAGTGTTAGATACTTTAGATTCGAAGAAGAGTCTCAGGGCTCAGCAGACTCTTGGTAACTCCATTCTTCCTCTTTTGTATCCACTCATCCGCTGAAGAGAGTCCAGCCCTCTGCCTGTTCATGGCACAACCACCTTCCCTTGCACTCATAGGTTTCCCCTCCCCCTTCCGCCTCTTTCTCTTACTAAGAAAGCTTTTTCCAAATAAAACAATGTTTGTTTGAACATATTTTTCCTCATTTTTTTTTATGGGGAAATCATAAGCCATTGGAGGCTGAGATTCAGCTAGCTTACCATCCTGGCGCATGGCTCAGAACCACACACTGTACCTTGTCTGATGTGGAGACGCCTACGCCGTATCTGTGCTGACTCTTTTGTCCTTTCCAGATGTTTCCTAAAGCAGTGCACCCGTGCAGCTTCTGTCCCTTTGTCCCAACTGCTTTCACAGTTGACACTGATAAGCAATATCCAGGATAATTTGGTATCAGAATAAAGATATATTTGCTGCTGATTTTTTAGCCTTATTGAAATCACGTAGTTCTGTTGTTCATGTGATGAGGGCTCAGGACCCAGCATCCATGAACGCACCTCTAGTCCAGCCACCTTTTGGACCTTTTGCCTCTGCCTCCTCATGCTAGAATTACAGGTGAGTGCCACCATGCCCTGCTTATTTTTCTTACTCTGTACTGTGTTAGTTCACCAAAGAATGTATCAGTATTGAAAACTGAGGGTTTCTGCTTTGGTTTGGTTTGGTTTTTGGTTTTTCTGTGTAGCCCTAGCTGTCCTGAAACTAACTCAACCAGGCTGTCCTCAAACTCAGAGATCCACCTACCTCTACCTCCCAGTGCTGGGATTAAAGGCATGCATTGCCAATGCCTGGTTGAAAACTGGGTTGTTTTAAATTTACTTCCTATTTCTACTTTGCCAAAAAAAAAATCTTTCCAAAGATGATTTCACCTTTTCAAACATACAAATATGGATATTTAAGACATTTTTTGTCTGTGTCAGTCAAGTACCTAGTATAGAAGAGACTGCTAGTAAATTAATGAGTAATTTTGTATTACTTTAAAATATGGAAATAGTGGAAATCAGGTGTGACGGTGCATACTGTAATCCTTTGGGAAGCTGAGGCAGGAGAACTGTGAGTTCAAGACCAGCCTTTGCCACATAGGGAGTTTCAGGCTTGCCCTGTTTCATATAAAACCTTAATAAACCAAACTACTGTCCATATTGGATGTACCTTTTTATAGTAATTTTATTAGTTGTGTGTGTGTGTGTGTGAGAGAGAGAGAGAGAGAGAGAGAGAGAGAGAGAGAGAGAGATTGGCCATAGCTTCAGATCCCTCCAGAACTGGAGTTACAAGTGATTGTGACCTTCTGATAAGATGTGAACTCAGCAGCAGGTACTCTTAACGCTGAGCCAACTCTCCAGCCCCTCCTCCCCCTTTCCCTTTTTCCTTTTTTTTTTTTTTTTTGGTTTTTTTTTTTTTTTTTGGTTTTTTGAGACAGGGTTTCTCTGTAGCTTTGGTGCCTGTCCTGGAACTAGCTCTTGTAGACCAGGCTGGCCTCGAACTCACAGAGATCCGCCTGCCTCTGCCTCCCGAGTGCTGGGATTAAAGGCGTGCACCACCACCGCCCGGCTCCCTTTTTCCTTTTAAAACAGTACTGGGGATTGAGCCTAGGGACTTGCACATCTGACATTGTTTTAAGAAAATGTGGGGGAGCTGGAGAGATGGCTCAGAGGTTAAGTGCACTGGCTGCTCTTCCAGAGGTTCTGAGTTCAATTCCCAGCAGCCACATGGTGGCTCACAACCATCTATAGTGAGATCTGATGCCCTCTTCTGTCAGAAAGGTGTACTTGTAGATAGAGCACACACACACATATATATATATATATGACAATTTTGAATTCTGAGTCTGTTTTATTGTGTAATATCATTAAATTAAGTAGTGTATCATATATAAATTGGATGTTTTCAGTAAAGAGCCAAAGACAGAACCTTGAAGCACTAAGTTTTTTTCCTAGGTTGATATCAGTTGTTTAATTACAATTACATTTATGTGCATCTTTTGTTTTGAAACATGGTCTTTGGAACCTAGGCTGGCCTCAGACTCATTGTGCAAGCTGAGGCTGGCTATGACTCCTAACTGTCCTGCCTTTGCCTCTGAAGTGCTGGAATAAGTTTGTACTATCAAGAATAGATTTTCATTTCATTTTGTTGTACTTTTTGAGACAGGGTCTTACTCTGGCCTGGAAAACTGTAGAGACCAAGTTACCTTCAAACTTGTAGCAGTGCTGTCAAGGGCTAGACTTACAGGCATGTACCATCTTGCCTGGCTTGGTTTGACTTTTTGATTAACCATGAATATTACTAAATATACTGTTTTCCTACTTATTATTTCACAATCGTCTGTCAGGTTAAAATAGGCATCCTTGTCTGGTATTCTGCAGTGGAGGGATGGGTAGAGCTAGCATTTCCATTGAACTTTGTTGGCTTGGGCCGAAGCTGCTCTGACTTCAGTTAGAATCTAGAAGGAGCTTTAACACTTTCTGTTTCAACACTCTGGCAGGTGTTGGTAGATGTGCCATGTACCACAGACCGCCACTCCCTTCATGAGGAAGAGAACAACATCTTCCAGCGCTCAAGGAAGAAGGAACGACAGATGCTGCCTATGCTGCAGGCGCAGCTTCTCGCGTAAGTGATGCAGTTATAGATTCTCAGACTTCACTGGAAGCATGCCAAGACCGTCACATAGAAGGATCTTTTGGCTGGAGATTTGCCTGGAGGCGATAGACTTCATGAGATTATCCTTTCTAGAATATTAACCTGTATCCCTGGCTGTTGAGGAAACTGAGGCAGAAGTATAGCTTGACTTAAGGGTCTGGGTCATCCTAGGTGCTAACCTGGGCAATGTAGTAAAGCCCTATCTCAGAGAAAGAAAGAGACTGGAGTTAAGAGCACTGTCTGCTCTTGCAGAGGACCCAGATTTGGCTTCCAGCACCCACATGGCTGCTCACAACCATCTGTAACTCCACTACCAGGGGATCCATGCCTCTCTGACCTTCATTGGCTCCTGCACATACATATGTAGTACATATCCATACATTCAGGCAAATGCATACACATAAAATAGGTAATAAGGATTTTTTAAAGAAAAGAACTATTACATTTATTTATTTTTTAAAAAGAGAGAAGTGCTAGGTGGTGGCACACGCTTTTAATCCCAGCATTCAAGAGGCAGAGGTGGGCAAATCTCTGTGAGTTCAAGGCCAGCCTAGGCTACAAAGCGAGTTCCAGGACAGTTAGGGCTACACAGAGAAACCCTGTCTTGGAAAAAATGATCCTTTGAAGCCTGATTCTGGTTATGAACCAAATCCTGATGCTGGTCATCAGTTGAATTCTCTCCTCAGTCACACAGACTCCTGGCCCCTAGCCCACCACCCCCTTCCTCTCCTCTTTTTTTTCTCTCCCTTTCTCTTTTTTCTCTTCCTATCCCCTTCCTTCCTTCCTTCCTTCCTTCCTTCCTTCCTTCTGTGTAGCTTTGATTGACTGGAACTCACAGAGATCCGCCTGCCTCTGCCTCCCAAGTGCTGGGATTAAAGGCATGCACCACCACACTCGGCCTCTTCTTTTCTTTTTTAGGTTTCTTTTTATTATTTTTAATTATGTATATGCATGTGTGTCTTCATGTAGGTATGTGCACATAAGTATAGATGCCCATACAGGTCAAAGATCTTGGATCCCCTGGACTTGGGAGTTATAGAAAATTGTGATATGGATGCTGGATACTGAACTCGGGTCCTTCACAAAAGCAGTATGTGCTCTCAACAGCTGAGCTGTCTCTCCAGCCCTCAGAGGATTCTTCTGTGGAGACTTCCTGGAGCTGGGTATGGTGGCACTACTCCATCAGGCAGTAGACTGCCCAGCCCATGTTCCTAGCCCTGTGTTGCTCTCACGCTTCTGGGAGGAATACCAGTTATTGTTTTGTTTTCTTGGTTTCAGGGCTGGACTCCTTGCCACCAAACCAGGAGGTCACGTTGTCTACTCCACGTGCTCACTGTCACACTTGCAGAATGAGTATGTGGTGCAGGGGGCCATTGAGCTCCTGGCCAATCAGTACAGCATCCAGGTTCAAGTGGAAGACCTGTCTCACTTCCGAAAGCTTTTCATGGACACATTCTGTTTCTTCCCATCCTGCCAGGTTGGGGAACTGGTAATACCAAACCTCATGGCCAATTTTGGGCCTATGTACTTCTGCAAAATGCATCGGCTGCCCTAGTGTCACCCTCTCGACTCTGTTGGGGGCACCGGGACAGTCGAGTAGCAGAGGCGCACTCCAAGGCCTGCCTCCCTCTTGTGGACAGCAGGAAGTAGGACCGCGGCCCAGCAGGTTTCTGACTCAGACTCCACTTCTATCCTGTAACCTGCACTAAGGCCCCTGTTCCTTAGACTTAGACAGAATCGGTGAATAAACCCATAGTTTAAGCTGTAAACTTGGGAAGAAACATTTAGCCAATAAAGTTGTTGAAGTACTCTAGAGCTGGGCCTGTAGTTGGGGCCTTCATGTCAGTCAGAGTTACATCATGGTTCTCTGGGAGTCAGCCGAAGCTGCTGAGCACGCTCCCCAGAGTGCCCAGCCCCTGCATACAGCCCTCTCCCACTGGTGAGTTCCATTTAGTCAGCCCACAGGCCCACCAGCCGCCCCAGTGTCTCCATATGGCACATGCTCTAATTTAAGGAATAAGTAACTAAAACTGTTGAGCGTGACTGGTAATCCCCTTCAAATGAGAAAGGTTTCCTAAGCTGAGTGCTTCTGGCCTTTCCTTCATATCACTGCAAAAGCTGCTTCTGGTTCATACTGTGTTTTTGTATGTTTCTTCTTTTACGTCTTCACATGACAAGTGTTCTCTGAGTTCTTGTAGGACAGCTATGGCACTGGTAGGGGTATGGTAGGGACTATGGGAATGACTGGGTTTCCTCATTTTACAGTGGCCACCTACTTCCTTTTACTTTTCAAGTACCTAGGAATCTCCTGATATTTTATTTCAGATATCTTATTTTATTTCTAATCTTTTGCCTGCTCCAGTGTCTAATCTTTGGCCCATCTCCAAATCCTTCTTCCAGTATAACAGGGCTTTGGATCACAGACAGTGTTTTGGAGTGACATTACATAACACACCGACTTGCATACTTGCATGCTAGGTATTTTGTAACATTTATTAAAAGAAGGCACCCTTTAGTGCCAGGGAATAGTAAACATTGCTTATGGTCACCCATGCACACAGGTATGTATGTATGAATATTGCTTGGCTCTTCCTACTTTTTTTTTTCAATTTTTTTCTTTTCTTTTTTTTTTTTTGTGTGTGTGTGTGTGTGTGAGACATGGTATCACTCTGTAGCCTTGGCTGCCCTGGAATTCACTCTCTTTGTAGACCAGGCTAGCCTCAAACTCAGAGATCTACCTGCCTCTGCCTCCCAAGTGCTGGAACTAAAGGCTTGTGCCACTACCACCCAGCTTTGAAACTCTTAATATTTTAAAGCTATTTCCTTTTTTAAAAAATTCTTTTAGATTTATTACCTATCTTTCAAATTTATTTATTAGCTGTCTTCCCACTTTCTTTATCCCTCCTTTGTTGCCGTTCTTTTTCTTTCATGCTTTCCCTGCTAATCCTTATCTGGTATTAGAAGTAGCCATTGAGAAGGACATTAGCAAAGGTTAAGCCATCTCCCTTCTTGAGATTTGTATTATAACTGAGGACCTTCCAGACTTTAAACCAAGTAAAGCTAGTAAGATGGAAATCCAAAGAACTTGGTTCATACTCTGAGTGGGACCCTTACCAGCTTCTGCTCATGACATACAGTCTCTACCTGCTGTTTACTCTCAACTTACATTGCTGAAGCTGAGAGACTTTGTGCCTGGGTTTCTGCCCAGTGGCTCTTGGATGTCTATCTGCTGCTAATTGAAGGCTAAGCAGTAAACATTGAGGAGAAAAGGGTCTGCTGGCCCTTGGATCACAGTCTAATTGAGGACAGACAGACTAGGTAAGAAAAACTGCTGTATTAGGCAGGATTTTCTAAAGGAACAGAACCAATAGCATGTATATGTAGACATACATATATATGCACATATGTGTGCATGTGTATGTAGACGTACATTTATATGCATGCATGTGCATATGTTATAAAGGGGATTTGTTGGATTGGATAGAGGCTGGGTAGTCTACCAATAGCCGTGTGCACTCTGAAGAGGCAGAGAACTAGGTTCCCAAGGATGCCTAAGCAGTCTCAGTCCAACACTGCAGTTTGGAAGCTTCCTGGAAAGTTGCTGCTGTTGAGTCAGTGTTGAAGAGCTGAAGAATCAGTCTGATGTCAGTGGGCAGCAGTAGCAGTAGGTGGTATCACTGGAGCAGAGAGACTTGCTGGCTGGAGGGTTGCCTTGTCCCTATTTACCTTCATCATCTGGGCGGTTTGCTCTTTCGAGGGTCCCACCTGTATTCGTCACTGTCCATGGGCCAGTCCTCTCTGGAAACATTCCTGTAGACACACAGCTTTATTTCCCCAGTCCAAGGCATCTCTTAACCCGGTCATGTTGAAACCTCAGACCCACGATCACAACTACTTTGGAAAACAGTTTGTCTCCTGTAATCGAATATATACTGCCCTCTAACTCAGTTACTACGGTGCTCAGAATCAGTTCAAGAGAAACTCTTATTCCCGTGCCCCTGTGAAGAATGTTCATAGCAGTCCATCTCACAAGCAAGAGCCTTGACATAGTCCACGTATCTCTGAGCAAGAAGAGGGTGAATAAACTGGATATTCACACAATGGAACACATGATGTATGATCTTATTTATATCACCTTGCAATCTGCCAGTGTGCTATTTAATTTTTTTTTTTTTTTTTTTTTTTTTTTTTGGTTTTTTGAGACAGGGTTTCTCTGTGGTTTTGGAGCCTGTCCTGGAACTAGCTCTTGTAGACCAGGCTGGTCTCGAACTCACAGAGATCCGCCTGCCTCCCAAGTGCTGGGATTAAAGGCGTGCGCCACCACTGCCCGGCCTGTGCTATTTAATTTAATGAGTATTAATAATATAGCCACAATCCCAAGTGATGTTGAAAATAATTCTTTTTTTTTGTTTGTTTGTTTGTTTGTTTTTTTTTTTTTGTTTTTTCAAGACAAAAAAGGTTTCGCTGTAGCTTTGGAGCATGTCCTGGAACTAGCTCTTGTAGTTCAGGCTGGTCTTGAACTCACAGAGATCCACCTGCCTCTGCCTCCGTAGTGCTGGGATTAAAAGCATGCACCACCACTGCCCGGCTGAAAATAATTCTTTTTTTTTTTTTTTTTTTTTTGGTTTTTTGAGACAGTGTTTCTCTGTAGCTTTGAGCCTGTCCCAGAACTAGCTCTTGTAGACCAGGCTGGCCTCAAACTCACAGAGATCCGCCTGCCTCTGCCTCCCGAGTGCTGGGATTAAAGGCGTGCGCCACCACCGCCCGGCCTGAAAATAATTCTTATCCTTAAAATTTACCCTTATGTCTGGGCAGTGATGGTGCATGCTGTTAGTGCCAGCACTTGGGAGGCAGAGGCAGGTGGATCTCTGCATTCTAGGCCAGCCTGGTCTACAAAGGGAGTTCCAGGACAGTCAGGGCTACACACAAAGAAACCCTGTTTGGAAAAACAAAAACAAAATAAATAAACAAATAAGTAAATTAAAAAAGGAAAAGAAAGAAAAGTTACCTTCTGGTCTTGGCTGTTGATCACTTCTTTTGTTTCTAGTCTCAGAAACCACCTAATCTGCCTTCTATCAAGCTACTTTTGAACAAAGGCATTAGGACTATTTAAAAGTCTAAAGATCCCCCAGTGACCGCAGGATCTTTACTATGGGTTTGCAACTGGTCTAACTGGTTAGGTGCCTTTGGTTTAATTACAAGGTCAGGCTATTTTAAAACCCTCCTGGGAACTTGTGATTTGAACTTTCCCAAAGCCAGGATTGTACCACATCAAAAGTTCTTGACAGGCAGGGAGAGGAGCAGAGAAAAATGTAGAGCTCAACAAAAATAAAAAAATAATTAAAAAAAAAAGCCTGGTAGTGGTGGTGCACAATCCCAGCACTTGGGAGGCAGGCAGAGGCAGGAGGATCTCTGTGAGTTCGAGGCCAGCCTGGACAACAAGAGCTAGTTCCATGACAGGCTCCAAAGCTACAAAGAAAGCCTGTCTCAAAAAAACAAAAACAAAAAACAAATCTTTTTTTTTTAAAATATTTATTTATTTACTTATTATGTATACAATATTCTGTCTACATGTATGCCTGCAGGCCAGAAGAGGGTACCAGATCTTATTATAGATGGTTGTGAGCCACCATGTGGTTGCCAGGAATTGAACTCAGGACCTTTGGAAGAGCAGGCAATGCTCTTAACCACTGAGCCATCTCTCCAGCCCCCCAAAAAACAAATCTTAATATGAAAAAAATTCTTGACAAAGTGTGGTGCATACCTGTAATCCTAGCACTTGGTAGGTAGAGGCAGGAATGTCAAGAATTCAAGGTTATCCATAACTTAGTAAACTCCAGTCCTGTCTGGACTGCATGAGACCCTGTCTCAGAGAACCCAAAACCAAACTAAAATAATAGGGCTGGAACCCAACAGTGGTGGCTCATGCCTCTATCCCAGTACTTAGGAGGCAGAGGCAGGTGGATCTTTGTGAATTTGAGGCTAGCCTGGTCTGCAGAGCTAGTTCTGGGACAGCCAGGGCTACACTGAGAAACCTTGTCTCAAAAAAATCAAAACAAAACAAATCTTCCAGTCAATAAATGGGCAAATCAAAATAAGCAATATAAATGATTAACAATATTTTTAAATGTTCAGTATCATTAGCCATAGAGAAATGCTAATTAAAAAAACCACATTAAGTGATATATATATATATATATATATATATATAAAATTTTAAAAATAAAGGAAAAACTGCATTAACCGGTTCATGGTGGTACATGCCTTTAATGCTACCACTCAAAAGGCAGAGGCAGGCAGAAGTTCAAGGCCAGCCTGGTTTACATAGTGAGACCCTATTTTACCACTACCACCAACACCAAAAAAAAAAAAAAAAATCAGATTCCCTGGAACTGGAGTTACAGACCGTTGTGAGCTTCCACTCATAACTGCTGAGAATAGAACCCAGGTCCTCTGGAAAAGCAGTCAGTACTATTAACCACTTGACTGTTGTTCCAGCCGAGGCTGCTTTGGGATTAGCTACGTAGCTGAGGATGTACTTGAGCCTTTGACCCTCTGATGCTGAGGTTACAGGTGTACGTGCCATGCCTGACTCTGAGTGTGGATTTTCATGTTTCCCCTCACATTTTCAGTTTCACCTCCTACATCAAGATCTTTGATCCTTTCTGAGTTAATTTGTGTACAGAATGAGAGAGCCAGGTGGTGGCGGCACACACCTTTAATCCCAGCCCTTGGGAGGCAGAGGCAGGAGGATCTCTGTGAGTTTGAGGCCAGCCTGGTCTACAAAGCGAGTTTCAGGACAGGCTCCAAAGCTACACAGAGAAACCCTGTCTTAAAACAAAAACAACAACAAAAACAAAACAAAAAAAGCCAAAAGAAAACCAGAATGAGAGAGGGATCTGGTTTCATTCTCCTATATTATGGATATTTATTTTCCCAGCACCATTTTTTGAGTATGCCTTCTTTTATGTAATGTGTGTTTTTGTAGCAGGGCTCCTAAATAATGACATGGAGAATTGTTGTCAAGTATGAAAGCTTGGTCTTAGCTTAGGCTTATTCCCACTTGGCTCTTCAAATTTAAATTAAATTATGGTGTAGAAAGTCCTTCTGTTTATGTGTTGCTTTCATTGGTTAATCAATAAAGAAACTGCTTGGCCTGATAGGGCAGAACTTAGGTAGGCAGAGAAGACAGAAGTGAATTCTGGGAGGAAGAAAGCAGAGTCAGAGAACCGCCATGGAGCCACCAGAATCAGACATGCTGAATCTTTGCCAGTAAGCCACTGTCACGTGGCGATACACAGATTAATGAAGATGAGTTAAACTAATATGTAAGAGTTAGCCAATAAGATGCTAGAGATAATGGGCCAGGCAGTGATTTAATTAATACAGTTTCTGTGTGGTTATTTCAGGGGCTAAACTAGCCCAGGCAGCAGGCCTCCTCTCCTGGTAACACATTTATATTAATCATCACCTCTTCTCAGTACCATACATCCAACTTCCTCCCAACTTCCATCTCATCTGATTCTTTCCCAGGGCTCCTATCTCCTGGAAAGTCCTTCCCATCTTCTTCTGTCTAGCTATTGGCCATTCATTTCTTTATTAAACCAACCAGAAGATGCTTTAGGCAGGTGAGGTTAAACAGAGACACATCTTTAAACAGTA